CCCCAAAACCCCAAAACCCCAAAACCCCAAAACCCCAGAAAACATGTTAAATAATATTGCTTTAAATAATGTTCAAATCACTTTTCTCTTGCTTTAGAAAGCAAGCCAACACTGACTTAAGAGATTCATATCAAAGAAGAGAGCCCTCCATGCTCAATGAAGAAGATATTGTTGATATCTATGGAAGAGACTCCATTGCGCTTAGAGCATCTAAGAATATTGAGCGAAATGTCACTGACAAATAAATCTAATGAGGAAATAAGAATCGTCGCTTTTGGCCAAATCGCTGAATATTTTGAGAAGTCTGAACTCCCCAAAGCTCTTCCAAAGGAGGATAACTTGAAGAAGGTTGCAAGAATCGGACTAGGAGTCCATCATGCTGTGTTCTTGTTCTATAGCTATCAGGTAGCTTCAGTTGGAAAGAACGATAGAGGCCAGCTAGGATTTCCTATCAGCGATATCGATTCTGAAAATATTTACAAGGATCTCCAGATCCTTGATATCCAGAAGTTCAAAGATGAAGGGAAGCGGATTATAGATATTGCAGCAGGTGCTTATCACACTATGCTCCTTGCTGAGCCAATTGATCATGAAGAGAGTAAAGAAAAAGAAACTCGTGAAGTCTACGTAATGGGAGATAGAAATATGCTGGGCAGATTTGAGGCCAAAGACTCCTCAGAACCAATCCTCATCACCATTCCTAGACTCGAGCAAGACCCTAGTTTACGTATTAAATATATCTACTCAAGGAATGAGAAGTGTGTGGTTATGGACACAGATCATGGCATGACACTTTGGGGCAGAGACTTTAATGGATTCTTCCAAAGAGAACCCTCCCTATTTTGTCAGTTCAAGTACTCTGTAAAGATTGCTTTTGGTCCAAAACACGGACTAGCAACTGATGAGAACAAGAAGCTTTATGTCTGGGGAGATGGAACCTATGGTGAGCTAGGTAGAGACACAGAGACAGAAGAAGTTACTGTTGAGACTCCTACCAAACATGCCTACTTTGATAATAAAGATATCAAGGTTCATTCTATAAGTGTTGGAAATCGTCACTCTGTCGTGGTCGATACTGAGGGTAAGATGTACTCGTTTGGAGATAACTCAAAAGGGCAGCTAGCTACATACGAAGAGAGACAGGATACACCAAATATGATCGATACCGGGTTCGAAGCAATGGCTGTTTTTAGTGGTCAAAGTCACAACCTGGTGAAAACTAAGGACGGTAGAATATTCACTTGGGGAGGAGACTCTAAGCTCCAAACTACTGGTAACAAAAACGGAACTTTCCTTAAATACATGTACGAGTTCAAGGGGAAGAAAACCTCAAATATCCAGACAGCTCATGACAACACAATCGTGATTTCTCACCTAAAGGTCTACAAAGAACCAAAGGAATAATAGAAGTAATGTTACAATTAATTGGTTTTCAAAACATATCTCTCTTAAGGGGTTTTGGGGTTTTGGGGTTTTGGGGTTTTGGGG